TTCCCTCTCTTCCCCATTCTATGCCCAGAACTATCTCTACTTGCCTTCTTCTTCAGAATTCCGCCAGAGATCCGGCTCCACCTCTATTGCCTACTCCTTGCTGGGCCCTCCAGGCTTCGCAAAGACTGGGAACTCTCCTTTGCTTGACATCATCCAGAGCTTGCGGTCGCAAGCTGCAGATATCTCCCTCCCCTGGATATTGCCACCCTGCATACGACAAAAGTCGTGGATACGGAGGTCAGGGAAGTTTTTTACTATACGAATACCTTCGATCTACAGGTCCCTCCGAGCTCATCACAGTCGATCAAACCAAGTATTTTCCGTTTCTCAGCTCCCTCCCAGTCTATTAATTTCGACCAAAGAATAAAGGAATGGAAATTCACGCCGCTCTCCCGAAAGGCACTGGACCTCACCAGAGACAGGAACTTCGAAAAAAGCAAAAGTTCACCCTCACATCAAACTCTTAGCCTGATCAAAGAAGTCAAAGATCCCAAGGAATGGACCATCACGCCAGAGGCTTTTGACCTCATCAAAGACATCAACATCTCCTCCTCTGTCGTCGGCTTCACGGAAGCCGAAGGCTATGATTACAGTAAAGGTTCGCTCAGCGAAAAAAAAACATAGTCCGCCATCTCTTCCCTCCCAGTCGCAACGACAATCAATGATCGCCGCCCAGCCTACTACCGCGCCCTTGCAGCCAGCTGCCATCAACCGAGAAAGGACCTGCAACCCACACCTCGGTCCTGCGACCTCAACGCACGGAAAGATACCCCGGTGCCCATGTCGTTCAATCTCAGCCTCGAGAACAAGATCCCCAGATGACGGCGCCGCGAACGCATCCCGCTTTGGGATCGAAGAGGACCAGTCGCACGGAATGATTCGGCATCGCCGACGTTAGCACGAGCTAAGTGCGAGCATTCATTCATTCATTCATTCATTGTAGTGACGGACCCGGCCGGGTATTTATCCCATCATCTGCGTCGAGACCATACTCAACAGCGGCTACGTCACGCTCGAAGCCGTAGCTCCACCGACCAACCAACCAACCAAAACACATCTAGCTTCCCCTCTCTCTCTCTCTCTCTCTCGTATACCACACTGCAACACCCGTCATCTCCTCTCCCCGCTCCGGACGGGGATTGCCATACCTGAGACACAAGTCCAAACGGTGGATCCATGCGCACGATACGTAAAAAGACACGCACAATGACGCATCTCGAACCCAGCTCGGCTCGAACCGGCTCGGTGAAGTGCCTTGATAAAATTCCGTCGGCTGGATGATCCAAGAGCCCGGGCGAGCATCTTGAGTAAGTGAGCTACGTATATGAATGGGGAAATCATATGGGGCGATGGAAGTGGGCCCGGGGCGCGGGTTCTTTGAAGCCGAGTGTGACGGAAGAGGGAGGGTTTTGGGTTCGATGCGAGGGGAGAGGTGATCAACGGAGTGGATGGCTTTCGGAGTATGGGACGTAGGGGTGATCGGTCGCTGTATTAAAGTATGTTCCACGGTCGAATCATACATACAATGCAAGGCGCTCTATATCCTCAGACTTAGGTACAGTTGAGCCATATGAACACGAATTATGTAAGTCGGAGGAATGAAGCTTTGGCACCCTATAGTGCCTGAAGCCGGTGTCCTCCATTGCTATTATGAGATGCATTAACCTCCGCAGTCCTTTACATGGGTCACTGGCCACTCATGCCATGCATTTCGTCCGGGTGCTGCCCCTGGTCAGGGTCAAAAGTCGCAAATCCGTTCATGTCGCCCAGCTGCGCCATGTCCCACTCGAGCGTCATCGGCATCTGCCACAAATCCTGCGGCACGAAGGGCTGCTGAAACGAGCCCATATTGAATGAATCACCAGTATACTGCTGCCCATCCATATTGATGTCTTGGTACCCATTCATGCCGTTCGAGGGCGACGTCGTATTAGGGAAGTCAGCGCCTGAGAAATCGACGGGAAGATTCATGTCCGAGAAGCTAGGGGAGAAGCCCTGCAGATTAGGGTTAAAGGATTGGCTGTTTAGATCGCCGTTGAAGCCAGGGGTGAAGACGCTCTGGGGTGTGGGCGCGTTGTTTGATTGCGGTGTTTGTGGCGCGTTGCGTTTCTGTGGAATTTGTTGAGTGTGTTGTGCTGGGTCATCGTCATTGATCTTGCTGCTTCTTCGTTTTCGGCGGGAGTGAGATTCCTTGTCGCTTCTCTCAAGGACAACACGGGCAATACGCTCAAACTCGGCACATACGCCTAACATACGTTTGACTCCGCCTTGTTCTTCGGTAACGGCAAGGAGGGAGAGAAAGTTCACGACTTGGTTCATTAATTTGACATCAGAGCGGGTGCGGGCGTCTTGAGGATTTTGGAGAATATTTGCGAAGAGAGTGACCAGTGCTGAGACGGGAAAGTAAAGTATTAACCTGGAAAAATATCAGCAAGCTGGACGAACTTTGACTTGGTGTTCGAGACTCACCAGACGCAAGAGTAGTCACCCTTGGGAATGTATCGTATGAGGTGGATGGAAGCCCTTGCAGCTTGTACGCACAAGGCTGCTGACGAAAATACTCTCGGATTTAGTGGCCTAGCATTCAAGCCTTGAATTGCGTAATTCGATAGCCGGCTCGTCCAATATCCGTGGTGGACGGACATGCGATGGATGGTCGTCAAGCAATTGTAGTAGGCGAAGTGGAGGACAACAACGTGGAGGATCAACGGAGTATGAGATGCTTTGATCTCGTGCTCTGGTCGGAAATCAAGAGGTATGCTGTCTTTCCACTCTTCGAGTTCTTTGTCGAGTTCGCCAATAGTGTTCAGTAGAGCACCGTCGGACTGTTTTGAAGCTTTCGTAGAGTACAATTGCTTGTAAACCTTGCTCTCAATGACGGCAAAGGTGCACATGAACCTGAAAAGATTAGCTTTTCCCTTGCCGTCCGCCAGAGGTATGTTTCCAATATTGTCAGCGGGGTCGACTGTCGGCAAATCAACATTCATGTCATCGTCATCTTGCGCTGGCGGTCGACCCGATCTCAAGCAGATACTGGTTCACGTTAGTCATGAGAGATCAATTACACTCTGCTAAGCTTACTCCTTATCGAGGAGGTAGGCAATCCAGAATACCCGTTTCCGTTGCTCGATCTCGACTGAATTCAGATTGAAGCCTGAGCCGCGCTTGTGCAGGCCTATGCTATTCGCCAGCCGAATTGCGGCGGCGACCAGAAAAAAAGAAGGTTGAGGATTCGGAGTGCCCATTAGGAAGAGAGCCTGCGTACTTCAGGTCAGCGACGTAAATTTGTAATGTCTACGATGAGTTGTACCATGCCAAGGAGAGCTTGCACACTGAGAAGATCTGTATTCCGCATTGTAAGCTCGGTGAGTTGTCCCATTGCGTTCTTCAGATAGCCCCACGCCTTCTGATCGTCCTCTTGTGGCACCATGTTGCTCATTATTCGTAGTCGATGCCCGATAGCCAGAGCAACGTTAAGACTAGCCCACCACCCTGATCCTTCGTAAGGATTCCGTGAATAGTGTTTTCTTACCAAGTGCATGAATGTTGGTTCGTGGAAAAGCGGAAACATGCAATTGAAGTTCCCGAAAAAATCTTTGAGCAAGGACAGTGCCTCGTGTTCTGGCGGCAGTGGAACGAACGCCCTTTTCTCGAATAAATCATTGAAAACCTCAGGCTTCCAAAAATTCCATTTGACCTCGTTCACATCCGCCGAGGCTATCATGTCTTGAAAGGAGCTATCCCCAGTCTTTTCGTTGACCCATTGTATGCCTTTAGGAGAGAAAATGGAGAAGCCAGAGGAAGATCCTGTGACATGTAAGTGGCAATCTATGGCTGGCGAAACCAAGGTCCTACCGATATATCTTGTTTCACCGCAGTTATTTGTGACTAGCGAGCACATCATATCTGATAACTCCTCAACCGGCTCCCCATTTTCTTTTGGTGTTTCTGCAGAAGAGGCTACAGATTCTCGTGATGTTGGCAATCTGTCCGTTTGGGGGGTGTGGCGTGGGGAATCGAAGGTTCGCGGCTGACTCCCAGATTTGGAGGATACATCCGGGGTCCTTGTCGGTGTATCACCACTGCTTTGGCTGAAAGTCTTGTGTGCCAACCTTTTCTCTAGCGTACCTGGATCAGGCCCATCAACCATTGCCTTATTTGCTAAGAACCTTTCCTTCATTTTCTCTAGATCAGGCACATCTTCACTCTCTTCGTTGAGTATCCCGGAGAGCTTCAGTAGAGACTCCATCCGACCAAGACGGTTCTCTAATCCTTCGATGTACTTTGCGCTGCACTTTGATCAGCGTCCAGGAAGCCAGCAATTAAAGTGGACCACGTACCCTTTGGGAGGATTGCGCTTCTTCTCCACCTGAGTGAAGATACACTCTGTTTTGTAGTTGAGACAGTGTGAGCATGCCGGCATCTTCCCATCACACTTTATTTTCTTCTTTCGGCACATATCACACGCCTGACACCGTTGTCAATGCCCTCGGTCGACAGATTGGTAGTAGGGGCCAAGTACACACTCGAGCTATCCTCCTTCTCTTCGCGTCGTTACTCTCGTCATGACCTCCATCGTGATCCTGCCCATCACCGTCTGCGAAGTCGAAACTGGGCACCGTTGGCGAGTCGTTGCTCTCGTTCCCACCGAAGTATTGAGGGGGGGGATTTGTGAGAGGAGGGAGATCAAAGGAGTCGCGCTGATGGTGGGGCTGTTGATACTGATCCATAATGGTAGTGTGAGGCTATGAAGAGTCGAGATAGGATAGGAGTGGAGGATAGGAGTTGCGGTTAAGGCGAGGACATTTTCTCTCTGCTGACTGCCAAGCAGGTCAGTGCGGAGCTGTCGTGGGTGATGATTACAAAGCGAGAACGGTGAGACTGAAGGGTTCGTCACTCTATCATGATTGGTTGGAGCGTTGTTGACATTGGACAGAAAATGAGTACAACATGCGAGGATGCACTCATGTAAAGTAGGCTGCAATGATGCGTCGTGCACAATGGAGTATGATCAGTAAGCGCGCCCAAAGGATGATCGACAATCCCGTTCGAGTCTCGCCCAGCACGCCAGAAGTTTGAACCCTGAGCCTCGCTTAAACTCCTCTCTTCGCATTTAACTATCACCACGGAACCTGCGCTGAAGCTTCCAAAATGAATAGATGTAGTTGAGTAGCTTAGAGTCTCTTCTTCTATCTTTCCATAAGCCATACTCTATCTGGGCGGCGAAAGAAGAGCGCATCTAACGGGTAAACCTCGGGGTTCAGACTTCTGACGAGTGCTGCTGACATAGAAAACAGAATGAGTAGTACACAGTGTCAGATCCTCTAGACCACCATTTGATAAGACTATGTAAGTCACAAATGCATTATGCAAAGGAGGACGCCGGTAATTGGATGGGGAGGAATTGACATTCGGAAGGCCACCTCTCAGCGCAGCCGAGCTCGTGAAGCATCCTGAATTCCAACATGTGACATGGGCTCTAGATCCAGCAAAAAAGGGGAAAATTGCCGTTGCAGAGGGTCGAGGTGGGCCTATACAGATATCCTATCAGATTCATGGCAATGGTCCGACGAAGCTTGTGGTGGGTACTACGTCTTCTCATCACTTCTCCATCAAAGCAGAAAGAGCCCTGCGCTCTTCTGCGTCGAAGAGTGTTGGTACCAACGTAGAGATTGCATTGTCGAGTGGCAGATGATTTGAATAGAATTTCTTCCTCGGAAATTGATACAATTGCTAGTGGATTATGGGCTTAGCAAATTTCAAAACGACATGGCAACGGCAAACCAAAGACTTTGGCCATGGTCAAAACACGAATCGAGATCAGAGCACGAAGTATTCCTGTTTGATCTTTGACAACAGAGGCGTTGGAGAATCTGGCAAACCGCTAGTGCGTTACTCTACTTCTGAAATGGCAAAAGATACTTTGGAGCTCATCGATCATGTTGGATGGACATCTCAACGTCAATTGCATGTTATTGGAATTAGCTTGGGTGGTATGATTGGTCAGGAGCTTGTAATAATTTCATTCCAGTTTAATAAGGAAAGCTCCTTGCTGAGCCCAGATGTAGGCTTTGATGGTGCCTGAGAGGATAGCATCGTTAATTCTGATATCGACTGCACCAAGACTATTTAGTACAGTTGTCAGTGACCCCTCTCCCACGCCTCAACAAGACTGAAACTTCTAGGGCTGGTTACAAAACCTCAGAGATAGAGTAAATATGTTGTTCGCCACCCTTTCCTTTTAGTCCGTTGTAGCAGATGCCTAATCACTCAAACTTGCCCTTTAGTTTACCAAAAGCCATAGACGTTCAACTCGACTCCATAAAAGCACGCACATTCAGTCAGCCCTGGCTCAACGAAACAGACGCAGAAGGCCATTTTCCCACGAACGGCGACCGCTGGGCTGCCCAAGAACTGGCAAAACGACAAAATGTCGAGGGTTTCACGAAAAAGGGCTTCATTCTTCAAGCAATAGCTGTCAATTGGCATCACAAGAGCGCAGCGCAGCTGAAACAATTAGGGGATCAAGTGGGGAGAAACAGAATTCTGGTAATCCATGGGACAGAAGATCGAATGATCACGCAGCCGCACGGCGATTTGTTGGTGAAGGAGCTTGGTGGGGAGGAGAACGGTGTGACGCGGTGTGTGGCGGAGGGAAGGGGCCATGGATTACCAATGGAATGGAGAAGGGAACTTACAAAAGTGATTGCGATATTTGTGGAGAAGACGGGGAAATTGTAACGACGTGTGAGTCTGCACAGGACAGAGAAGCCCCGATGCTCCAGTGATTTGGACTGATCACCAAAAGGGGGCAAGAGAAGTAGCCACAAAGGTCGATTGTGGACTATTGACACCACGCATCCTTGTTGGGCCGTCACGCCAAGGTCGGCTAGAGTCATCGTTTCCCACGCCATTCCTTCACCAGCTCCACTGCCACTGCTATTGCGCTTTCAAGCAATTTGGTGGAATATAGGGAAATGGTGAGAAGGAAGCGAACGCGAAACGTGATTTTGGGTTTAGGAGGGGAGACATTTTGAACTCTAATCCCCGGGATATATCCATAGATGCTCTCCAAGTCGCCTCCCGTAAGCCTCAGCAACTCCATTAATGAGATCCCTGATCAGATATAATCGGTCGAAGCCGCCTTGTCGTCGTGCTCAAAGCCGCCAGTAAAGTGTCACTGGCAGATTCAACTCCACGCTATGCAGCAACCCATATGTTACAACCCAAATCGCGTATCTCATAAATGTCCCGAACTCTTCTCCAGCAACTCTTTCGCCTCATTCACTTTCGTAGCCAAATATGGACTTCCCCCTCTATCTGGATGGTTCAGCAGCATAAGTTGTCGATGATTTTTCCGTATTTTCTCTTTTGTAAGCATGCGCTCACTGTTCACCGAAAAGTCAGCTCTCCATCAGTGTATGTTTTGCTGTGCAAAGCATCGTACTTGAGCTGTAATATCAACGACGCCTCCCTTCTGTTCATCCTAGGCTCAAAGCCGCCTTTGTAGTAAGCCTTGCCCAAAGCGCGCGCGCCTGCTGCTCCACCGCGATATTTTCTGAATGCTACTAGGCCCGCTCGCCCCTGCGCATTCTTGTCACTAGATAGCTCGCTACCGCAAGAGGTGGATGAGGCTTACTAAGAACGCAGCAGCAGCAACTCCTACTCCCACTCCTATCACCGTCGCCATGCTTGAGCGGGACCTTTCTTCGGAAACCACTATCTTTAATGTGGTTTTAAGATCGAGAGAGGTCACTGCGTCACCAAGCTCGACATCCAGAACAGTAGTGGAAAGGACCTGGTTCAAGAGAGCGGCGATGTCGGATTTGCCCGCAAATGATAGACTAGCTTCAAAGAAGCTAGCGCCGGGCTTCAATATCTTCCGCTCTCGGTCTTGAAGATATTCGCACGAACTTTCCAGTATTTGCCTCCATATTTCTCATAAATCCACAGCCACGCAAAGATGAGGGTCGAAATCTGTCAGTGCTCCTCCTATATGAAAGTTATAGATATGGTACTAATACGTACGTTAGGTTACTTTTGTTCGCAGCCTATCTATCCCTCGGTACGCAAAATTCTGACATGAACGTCCCTGTTTGGAGTCATAATATATGCTTCGAGGACCTTCTTACTCGCGAAATCTGTCTTGCAACTTCACTCCTAGCCTCAAGAAACCAATGCTAACTCCTATATCTGCGTAGAAGGGTACATCTGCCGTCTTCTTCTCTGGATTCCTTCGGAGCTGACAGGGGCAGGTATAACCTTCGTGCGCAATGACGCCAAGCAATTCAAATTCTGCAGATGTACAGTCTCATTGATCCTCTCCTTGTGTGAAGCATGACGAAGTCGAGCCCAGCTGACACACTTGATAGCAAAATGCCACAAGAACGTATATTAGCCCATCAGCACGAATCTGCTTACCTGCTAAGTACCCCCACAGTTCAAGATGAAGCGCAACCCAAGGAAGCTGAAGTGGACCAAGGCGTTTCGTGTAACCTTTATTCCTGTCCCGATCCATTTACATGAAAAGCAGCTGACCTTACCGCCAGAAATCTGTTGGCAAGGAAATGACCGTTGACACCACCCTTCAATTTGCTGCCCGCCGCAACATCCCTGTCCGCTACGATCGCAACCTTGTGTCTGCAACGCTCAAAGCTATGCAACGAGTCTCGGAGATCCGGGCAAGGAGGGAGAGAGTCTTCTTCAAGAACCGCATGGCTGGTAATAAAGAGAGGGTGAGGGCTAGGAACAGGAAGTTGGTGGCTGAGAACGAACATCTATTGCCACGGCAAAGAGCAAGCGAGACAATGGCTGCAGAGATGGAAGAGCCGTTGGAAGTCGAGGCGATGGAGGTTCCGGTGCAAAAGGTGAAAGAGAAGAAGAGGGTGAAGCAGAGGATGAAGGTTGGGGGTGGCATGGAGGACAACATGGATGTAGACTGAAGTGCTGGTGCTTGATCCTCTACGATACTAATTTCAAAGCGTGGCGTTCGGACAACGATAGAAATGTTCTGTCTAGGATGCTAATTGTGGGCATCATAATCGAACCCTTCTTTCCCTAGATGTGCTTTTTCAGGCTCCGTCAATCCAATCTCTACATCCTTCTCCCGAGCCTCCAACGTATCTTTTTCTCCTCTTCTTTTCTCAGGTTCTGGAGTTCTGTAATTACCAGCCCCTCCTCGACCATAGTGTCCTAGCTCTGGAGGCTTGTTTTCCTGCAACGATGGAGTGACATCAATATTCGCAGTAGTGCCTGCTGCTAGCATATCTCTCGTCGTAAAATTTCCAGCACCACCACGACCGGATGTCGAGAACCTGCGACCCTGGCTTTCTAGATCTTCAATTCCTCCACCGGCAGCATTGCGCTGGGCTTCGACGTCCTGGAAAGTCGTCAACGCGGTGTGGTGAAACGGGCGACGAGTTTTCTCACCTTACTAGTCTCTTTGGAAGCCTTCTCCACGTCTTGTGGAGTGTAAAAGTTGCCAGCTCCTCCTCTTCCGACCTTTTGATATTCCATCATGCATTGGAAGAATTTCTAGGGTCCGGATATGGTATAAACGTCACCTTGCGCTGCAGCGCGTGGGGAACGTTGCCAAGGCCGTTTACCGATAGGACAGTCGCGGCAGAAAATATCCGTCGTTGGTCGCCACTACATCCTCGCATCTCTCTTTCGCATTGGTAGAGTGTTTCCCGAGAATCTCCATAGTTGTACATATTAACCCAGTCAACTGACCCAGGTCTCTGGATTGCCAAAGGGCGGAAGACTCCGAAAACCAAAGAGAGCCGTTACCACTGTTCTCCGCTTGCTCGTTTTGCCAACCACCTTCTTCATTGGTATATTACTTTTCCGAGTTCATGCAAGATTCGATGACTCTAATATCTGATCTCATTCACTGGTCAAAGACGTAGCAGACTCAGGACCTTACTCCCTCACCTCCTGAATTCTCCCCATCCTTTTAGAATATCTGCTTTGACTACCTTTGTTATTCCCCATCAAGTCTCAGCGAAAGAGTTTCAAATTCTCAAGCATGGTTTCACGAAAGAGCCATCCTAAAAGCCGCAATGGTTGTGCTAATTGCAAGAAGAGGCGAATTAAGGTAAAAGCAATCCCAATGCCCCAATCTTCCCGGCTCTCTTATGTTTGATCGTACCTTGCAAAAGTGTCTACGTTTGTCGTTACTGACACTTTATAATCTTTGCTGCTGTCAGTGTGACGAAATAAGACCTCGATGCTCCAACTGCGAGAAACACTCGATAACCTGCGACTTCTCCTCACACGCGCCTAAGAGCTCTTCAACATCTTCGCCGCAAGAACTTCGACACCGTAATTCGGATGCTAAATCAGTACCGTCGGTGCAAGGCAGCTCGACCGACCAATCTCCGGCACTGCTTCAGGCTCAGCAGTCTCTATTCGATGGTCCAAGATCCCATTTGCCGCCCCTACAGATGGCGGAACTCGAGCTTTTACATCACTTTACCACCGAAACCTGCTACACCCTTTCGGACCGGTCTGAATCACACGAACTATGGAGGGTCACTGTTCCCCAGGTAGCTTTTCAACACGACTTCCTGATGCGAGGTATACTGGCCATATCTGCACTTCACCTTGGCTGTCTGAGACCGGACAGACAGACCGATTGGGGTCATGTAGCCGCCAAGCAGCAAGACGCTGCGCTAAGTTCTTTCCGAAAGATCATGACAAACATGGACGAATCGAACTGCGATGCTTTCCTTGCACTCTCTTCACTGATAGTGGTTTACGGCTTCGAGTCTCCCAAGGCTTCTCACAGCCTCGGCATGTTCGACTATAAGGGTCAAGATTCTGATGAATGGCTTCCACTTATCCGTGGAGTCAACTCGATTATCATGTCCGTTTGGCCCTGGATCAAGAACGGTCGGCTAAGTGGCCTTCTTCATGACCACATCCAGGAGCCGCCTCAGACCGAGCTACCGAGTGTTCTGAGTGAGCAACTCACACACCTTGCGGACATGTGCGATCGCGCTTCCGGTGGACCCGAGGCGGTCAACGCCTACAAAGCCGCTCTTGAAACGCTCAGAGTCTCGTTTGTAAGGATGAACAATAGGCCCCCTTACGAATGTGAAGTTTCTATAGCGTTCTTATGGCCGGTCATGATACCGCAGGAGTATATAATGATGTTAAACGAGAAGAGGCCAGAGGCACTCGTCATACTGGCTCACTACTGTGTCATTCTCCACCATCTTGATGACTACTGGTGGATGAGAGGATGGGCAATGCATATCATCGATAACATCCACCGCGAACTCGACGAGAATTGGCTCTACTTTGTCCAATGGCCCACCAATGTCATCTCCGTCGACCAGAAGGTCCTCACGGACGGGACTTTGCAGAATCCGATTTCCGGAAATCGTGTCAGCAACAACTTCAATACAGCGATAGATTCGTCACTGAATATTCCGAATGAAGAGGCCAAAGCCGGAAATGACCGATGAAGGCCGCGGACTCAATACGTCCTCCAATATACTATCAATCACGAGGCGACTCGGCCGAGATTGCGTCCGCTGTCTATTTGAGCAACGTCCAATGGGTCTCTCGGGTCGTCGTTCATTTGCTTCGATCTTGCTGTCTCACGGATTCTACTGCATACGTGTTCGACTGCCACACTCACCACCACACAGCGCGCACCATAATTTCCACACAGCCTTGAGCTTTGCTGAAGGGTGGTATCATGATTCCCAGTGTGGAATCTACGGGAAGGAGGAAACGTGATCTAGGGCTAAAACGGCGAGATGCTTCGGAGGCTGCGATTGGATCTCCACTCGATAGCGCGATGGCTTGCGATGGCGTGCATCGTGACCGAGGAATCGCGGAGAGCACCCACCCTAAAAATCGATTTCGTTGGTCAACACGTTTTTGACTTGTGGGCCGTGCTCCCTAGCGTTCTTCGTGGAGAGCGTTGAATCGAGACATACATTGGGAGATTTTACGGAGAAAAATAATGCTGATGAAGCGAAACATGCAAGAAGCAGGAGAATTGCACGACTACGATGAGATGGATTTCATTGGACTTCCCCGTTTGAGCTTCGGGTTGCCCGCATTAGACAGGACACTTGTGAGGACGGAGGAATGATCAGCGTGGGGCGCTCTGCCTAAGTCGGGCTAGGCAGATCATGTTCTAGCCTCAGGTACCGTATTTAGGTATGGGGATTGGCAGCAGGACCCGAGGTGAAATGGTTTGTGCTTCGGACGAACATGACATGGTGGTGGTGGAGAGAAGTAACATGACACAAGGACTGGAACAACGTACGTACAAGTATGATGATGAATGATGATTATGATTATGATTCGAATCGTGAGCATGTATCGTGACCATTCAAAGCGTTGGGAAGGAGGGATGTCCCGCATTGGAGGAATTGAAGATTGCCATGGTTCTTGCGCAATTGATAGGAGTAGCAGCGCGTGATTGGGTTCGGAGCATCTGCTGACCCTAAGTAACCACCAGTTAGCGGCTCAGGTAGCGTAGGGATCGCCCCCAAAGTCTAGGCAGGTCCCCCCCCCTCTTTAGCCTGCCCTCTCTTCCCAATTCCTAAAGTACCTTACGTGCACCACCCCCGCAGCTGGCTGCCACTAAGGTAGTGCACCTGCGAAAGCCTTTCATTATTATGATTATGATTATTATTATTTTATTTCTTTCCCAGAATAATCCTTCTTCTCTCTTTAATTGTCCTTGTGCTACCATCTCATTCATCAGCCTCTCATTCCTTCCGTCCATCACTCTTAGCACAATTGCATTGCCGAGAGCAGATTCCCTGGTCTCAGCCTGCGCCTCCGTCTCCATCAGGAATCAACAAGGCTACCACCAGCGGGTTTTTGACAGCTACCCTTCTCTGATGAGAAACCGTGCTCACTCATTGCCACTAACAATACAATCTACTGCATCATAGAGCACAATACTCCACACCTGCTCCGACTCTGTTTGCTTCGAAACACGAGCAATCCTCAGACGTGTGTCACCTGCAATCTCGAAAACAGCCCCGAGATCACGAATGTTGCCTATTACCTAAATCCGGTCAACTTCTACATCTGTGGCTCTCTAGGTCTGGCTTGTTGATCAGAGCCATCGACCAAGAGAGCCAATATACTCCACAATGGCCAGCTACAAGGTATTCCCCCCTTCACCTCAAAGACAAATAATCCTCCGACTAATGATTATTCGAGCAGGAACCACAGGTCAACCGCCCTCAGAGCTCCCACAGACTCTCGGTGACCTCTACGCCCTCCTCCAATACGCCAATTCGTCATGCTACATCGAGATACCACTCTCACTCGGTCTCTCTCGGGGCTGTCAATCCGTCCCACCGAATTACCAGACGCAAGAGCATGAATGCAAGTACATTCAACAACGTCGCCGTCATTGCAGCTGCACTCAATGATATGGACGACAAGGGTTCCGCTCCCTCGAAACGCGGAAGCCTGAACTTGAAGACCGCTGCAAGTAGCCGAGGCGTCGAGTCTAGCAGATATGGTGGTTCTAGAGGTGACAGATATCCTCTGGGTGGGCTCGCAAGCAACAACGAGAATGCCAATGAAGAAGCAATGGACGACGAAGGATCCGTTATCGAGGATGACTTTCTACCAAGTGAGAATGTGAGCACCGGATCGAAAGCAAGAGCCAGGCGTGCAAGCGAAGGCTCATACCTCACAAAGGGCGAGGGTAAAAGATCAAGTGGTGAACTTAGATGCGAGAAATGTGGAAAGGGTTACAAGCATAGCAGCTGTTTGACGAAGCACCTGTCAGTATTTCCTGGTCTTCCCGTCATCCAGCTGTTTGCTTTTACCATTCTTCCCTTTGTGTCCAGGTCTCTCCGAGTATGAATACTCTTTGGTATCCGGTCCGCTCCGACGTCCAAGAGCTCTGTTGTTGACATTTACTGTTTGCAGGTGGGAGCACACTCCTGAGTGGATATTAACATCAAAGCTTCTTATATCCAAGCATCAGCAAGTCCAATTGCTTCAAGCTGCCTCGGTACTGGTTGGAATGAACCAAGAGACAACAGCAGCCGAAGACACGACGAAGCCATCAGAGAGCGACCACTCATCTGCTTCTCCTGCCGCATCGGGATTCTCGGACGTAAGAGAAGAAGAATACTATATTAGCTCAGCTGAGACCACGCCTCCTCCCATGAACGAACATTACGCCATGGTAGAGGATGCAGACAGCAGTCGAAGCAAACGACATAGCGGCAACAGCTCATCATTCTCGAGGTCGTACCAATCTGCTCCGTCATTCTCGCTGCCCGCTGGTAGCAATTTAAGCCAATACCACCAGCAACGAAGACCATCTTCATCTGGCGTTGCATCTGCAGAGGTAGATGAGGAAGAGGCGGGCTTGGTGGCTGCTGTTGAATCCTTGTGCAGCTTTGGTACCTCAAGGAATGGCTTTGTCCCATTTCCTGATGATGTCCCGCCGGTGCCCCCTGTGCCTGCTAAGTACCGCGAATATAACGTCAACAGGCTATCCGGCAATTTGGGACAACTCCCCGAATTAGCCTTGTCAGCCCCATCCTATCAATCGCTCTCCGATGAACAAGATATGAAGAAGGGGAACAGCCACATTGTCCACGTTCACGAGGACTACGATTACGATGACCACTCCATCTCTCACGGGCGAAGTGACGAAGAGGACGATGGGATTTTCGGGGCAATGGAGGGTGTAACTCACGAGCGCCTTCCCCGTGCGTGACCCAAAACGGCCACGCACACCAAGAAAGTCTTGACCTTCCCAGAAAATCCGTGACATGAAAATCACTCAAGACAAGAGTTTTCACGACACTCCCGTTTGTCCCATTTGTCTTTGGATATTACCATGTAACGATGCATTATACGCCCCAAGCATGGTGCATCCTGTCTCCGCAGACCAACCTCCAGCACCGAAGAGTGGACCTTCTTGTAAAGTCCACGAGGTTAAAGTGGAGATTGGTTTTCAGCGTCGAGCAGACACCCCCTCGTATCTTCGTTTCCAGGGCTTGTGTTGGGTATACATTCTGTCCAAATGATAGCAATACATGTCAAATTTACATAAGTTCTTGCCTCACTCGTGTGAAGACTTTCTGGTAGACTAGTTCTTACTCACAATTTGGTTACTTTTGAGACTTGCACTCATTCTTTGCTTTTCTCCCCTCACTACTGAAATCTACACCCCTCAGAAGTATTCACCACTCACGTTGATTTTTTCCATTCCTTCCGTTCTGCCTTTCACAAATTTATGAATCTCTATTTCTCACTCTTTGCCCACCAATTCACATCCTTCAGAAACATTCACCATACCGCATCCTCTACCATTTAAACCCCCCAAATCTCCAAAACTTCTTTCCCTTTCCGACTCATGTACAACCCAAAGCCACCAACACCATGTACCCTCTACTCTCCTTGTCTTCGATCAGTGGCATCGATGTCCTATACCCTAACTGAATATATGTGTTTCAGATCCAATACCTTCGGCAGCAGACTTGTCTACCTGATACATCTTCGAGAACGCGTCGTCGAGAGAAGGGCCCGCAAGGCAGTAATCTTCCTCAATGCAAGCGAGGCGCTCTCACCACATCATCTGAATACCGGTCGCCAGTACCAGCCCCTCCCCGCCCATGGTCCCTAGATGGAAAAAGACATCAAAGTCCACATCCCCCGGTCCCCGTTCGCTTCAGCCTCCACAGCTCCATCCATCCCCACCACCGATGGATCTTGCAAGGCGGCGGTCGACGGCCGGAAGCAGGGATTCGGTCGTGCTTACGGAGGACGGATAAACCGCCAACGGCGATTTTCGTAGATTACCCCCATCGAGCTCGTTCATGGCGAAAGCGAGGGCGAGACGGACCTGCGAGGCGACGTTGGCTCAGTGGCGTGAGGGTCGCTTCCGGGGGGGTAATGGGAAGGAAAGAGGTTGCGATACCGGGAGTTGAATGTTGCGTGGCTGAAGGAGGGACGGGGGGTCCTGGCTGATGGGATTTCCCCGTCGTTACCTCGAGTCGAGGCCCAACCGGAGGAGATGCCAAAAACCCATAAGCGTGCCAAAGCTAAGAAAGCGGAGGAGGCCGGACCCAGGCCCTCACACTGTCAATAGGGGAAAGATGCCCAAGGCTACAAAATCCAAGGCCACCGACGCCCTGGACGGATTGGCTAGAGTGACAAGGTCGACTTCAGAGAAAGACTCGTGTTCGTTGATCGTAGTGGGAGGACGCTGTTTCGTTTGGACTCCGAGCCTGGGAGTGTGGATGCGAAGGAGAAGGCGGCAGACTCCCATCAGGAGTCCCTTGGCGAAGTGAAAGCCGACCTCCACGACGCTGTTGCCCATCAGGCCTTTGACCCTCCGCTGGCCGGAGAGGAGCCGCAGCGCCTTCCCCGAACCCACCGCGGCGAAGAAATATTTCCGGTCCTCGTTCCCGCTCACGGGCAGCTCGGGCAGAGATAAAGGACCTTCCTGTCAACGGCGAGAGCTACAGATGGGAAAAGGGGGGGGTGTCGAAGCTACCAGGAAGGCATTGGAAAGCGTGTTGACGAGGGAGAAACTCACCGGCGAGGCAATATCTTTTCGGGCCAGGGCTGTGGTGTTCAACAGGCAGGCTGGCGCGTACGACGCCGCTGCTTAGGATTTGACTATAGGGTCTGTGGCTGTGACGGTCGAGTGCAGCACGCCACTCCGTACACCCTCCTGTCAGAAATGAAAAAGCGTCTTTTCAGTATGTCACCCTCGGCTGCTGCATCTTGACAAGAGCAGATAGAAATCTTACGGTCCATTTGTCGGCTATGGTATGAATCTGATCGCCATGTGAGGGTTCATGCTCCCCGCCATAGGGTTCCGCTTTTTGGAATATGTGCCAGGTGGAAATGCTATGCTCGATCTCGTCCATTTCCGCATCGAGGCGTCGCTCCACAAGCTGGAGAATATGTACTCGGATATGTAGCTTCTGTGGGGTGAATCTGTCGGACGCAATCGTCCACAGGGTTTACCCATTCCCTTGTGCTTGTGAGAGAGACGATCAGATCCTGACCCCCGATGCTCATGCACCCGTGGTATCTAACATCGCATCGGACGCCGGTGGTGGCCGTCGAGACTGAGGTATTAAACGCTCGCACTATATATCCCCTCGACTTGAACGGTGAGAGACTCTCCATACAGCCTGGGAAAGCGCAGACACTGCCTTCTCGTTCATTCGTTGGTGCTGAGAAGTTCTGCCCACCACAGATATACAGCAAGGAGTGGTTGACTCACTCACTATGACATGGGGCGTTGGTACAATCTCCACGCGTATGGTGTTTCTGGGAATCCTGACCGAGTACTGTGTAGCTTCCAGAGCTCGGCCCTCGTACCCATACGGGCGAAGACCGTCTGGAGCAGTACGATCGCTGCTGCAACATGCGACGATCTGTCAGTCACAGCGTGTTGCGGAGCCGGTGGCAGGACAAGTTCCAGCTAGCTGGCGGTATCGGGGCACAGGCCGAGGGCTCCGCTCACCCATATTTCAGACGCGAAGCGCATGTCGGGCCCATGGAGCCAGACGCAGCCTATCTTGCTGAAGAGCGAGGGAATCTTTTCTGCTATCTATGTGGTTCTCCTGATAGCCGACTGACTCATTGATTGCAGCTGGGAATGGCCGGTATGGGCAGCAGGTACATGGAGGAGAGGATGTGCAAGTTGGTGAGCGCCTGTCCATATCTGGGGCCGACTCCGTATGTAAAATGCCTTGCTGCTTCCGACGCATCCACTCCCGCTGTCTTCGAGGATGGTCGATCGAGATCAAATAATTGCACTGGGATATTCGCCATGGGTGCGTCGATCTCACTCGCACGGAGGCGGAGTTTCAGGTTTATTACGAGTGTGAGTGTGGAAGCCGCTCGCCATTGTCATTCAAGGGTGACACGATAACGACGGTCTCTTTTGTAAGGAAGAAAATTGGTTTCGAGACGATCGAGCACACTCCTGTATTCGACAGTGCGCTGGAGGTGGAGCCCCGGAATAATTATAGGTTTAGGTTGAGAGGATCGGAAATGGAAGATTGAGTTGGGCATCGAGGTACCACGACCAAACCAGCAACGAACACGACATGGAGGTCACTTGAGGGAACAAATTCCGGCTTATGCAAGCGCTGAACCATACCCGTCGAGAGAACATTTGCTTGGCCGGTGGCCTTCCTTACTTACTCCACAGGCACTCGTACTCAGATCGGGGTTTCGTGGACAATGGCCGCTGTGGATCCTTTTGGCCTGATGACTCATCCGTGAGTCCTCCCTCCGTGGCGCTGTGGATGGAAGTCGCCAAGGTACTGTCGGAGGACACATCGCTGAAGCCAACGGGCCCACCTCTATCTACCTAGGAAGGTCATCACGTTGTTATGGGACCGCTTGATTAAGATGACATCGTCTGCGCCTCTGGAAGAGCATCTGAACGGATGTGTTGCCGAGTAGGAAATGAGTCCTCCTACGATCAAGCAGCCATGTCACGAAGACCCGCGCGTGTATCCTGTTGGAGCGATGTGGAGGGGTATTTTAAGGCGACAACTGCTGCGTGAAGACTTGAGGCTCGGATTCGTTATCATCCGTCTTAGACTTGCTGATTCAGATGGCCGCGAATGAAACGATGACCGTGTTCGCGCCGCCCGAAAAGGCAGCTGACGTGGGCGTGACTCCGATCGCAGCGATATTGAGAGCGCCGTTGGCTCCGCCCGGAGCGCAGAGACGGCGCTGGCTCTCAGGATAGCTCAGACGATGGCAAGATGTCTGGGAAGAAAGAAGTGCACGGGCCGAGAAAGCCGAGACATTCGCAGGATCAACATAATCCACATCAGTATGGACGTGCATTATAAACATAGAGGGTGCGAATCAGGAACCTTTGAATCTTGGAGAAAGGCCACAATACCACACCTGACGAAGCCTATCGGCTCTGCTTGAGAAGAAGAGAGAGAGCAACATTGGGCGGATGGCTTGGCCGAATACAGTGGGAAAAGCGGGAGATGAAAGATTCAGCGTTAGAAGAACGAGCGAATGAGCACGTTCCTTTCCCAGGCAAGAAAGCCGTCAGAAAGCGCAAAATGGCTGCAGGATCGCCTAATGCGGAGCCCGAAGCTGGCCACGGCGGCGCGAAATCACACCCTACCTTGTTCCATGCGTAAAAGTACTATGTGGCAATCACGGTGTGATGGTGGACGAATTCATAAGCTTGTATATCGGTGAAGAGGGTATCTCGGAGATCATTGAACAGGCCTTCGAGGTCACGGATCCGGAGTCCCGGGAATTGCTGGCACTTGGCCAATCCGAAAGAGCAGAGGCAGCCAAGAGGATATTACAGCCATCGGACGTTTTCTCAAGCGACATGCGAGTATTGAATGTTCCCGCAGGAGCTGCATTGTGGGAAGAATTCCGCCGTACGTTTCCCAAAGATACGGTCGATGAATCAATCTATTGACCACGTCATGAGATATAATGGGTCTGTCGCGCGCGGGTGAAAAGGATGCTATCAAGAACCGAGTAGCAACGCAGCACGAAAAGCGAGGTCTATCGAAAAGGCCACTCGACCTTGTTCTGTGCAGCAGCGTGGGAGCGGGAAAGTACTCGGGAAATAGCGTCGTGTTGGCGTCGCGAAAGACGGAGAATGCAGGGAGTACTTATGCGCATCGTTGACGCAGTCAGTATTGATACCACCCATATAGATATACTTTGAGGATATATACCTCTTTGTCAGAAAGACTCCATTCACGACGGTCAATCTGTCTCATCGTCAGCGATTCAACGAGTGATGCACCGAAAGACTTTAGAAAACTATGGCGGCCCGCTTCAGACCTGGGTACGCTGTGCTCCCGACCGTCGTAAAGAAGTGGCTCTCCGAGGAAAGCTTTCGACAAAAGGACCAAAACCCCTGCTCTTTCTGGTCGGTGAACGAGACGTCTCCCTTGCGACTGCGATAGATATCGAAACGTCGGGAATCGGTGGCAACAATGCCTTCCTTCCATCCACTGGCTCAAAAATCCGGCAATCGGATCCAAACCGCAAGCAGCACCGAGCTCGGAACGATGGGAATGGAAGGACATCTTGTGGCCCGCTGGTGAAAGACCGGGGTTTCTGGAAGCAATGAGTGCGGGAGCGTTGTGCTGGTGGTTGAGCATGTGAATGTGTACCCGATTGGACGTGGTGGTGCTTCGTTGGGTCAAGGATTTGGCCACGCTTGCGGAAGTCTTCTGGGGCGGGAGAGAATTCTGGCCTGTTCTTACCAGTGCTAGTACTGGAATGTGAACTACATGAGCAGGTTGGTGTATAAACGACAGAGCAAAGATCTAAGCCCTTAGAATACAAGCACTGTAGAGTAGACGAGTGATGATTTTCCCAAATCTACCTATGTGCTCCCAGCTATGAACAAAACACACCATCAAACTCCTAGCTGTGATCAGGAAGTTAAAGCAGAAATGGTTCAAGAAGACAAATCTCCCCTCCTGTCCCATATCCTCTGAATGGCCACCCCGGGGGTAGGTACATTCGGCCCGGCCCCCACAGGCGGAGGATCAATCAGCTCTTGCGGTGGCGGCGGCGGCGCGCTCTTGCCTCCAGTCCCATCAAAGTATTTGGAGAACTCCTTGTTGTCATCAAACGGTCTCTTCCCCAGTATTCTTACCAGATCATCCCGCCCAATCACCTCCTTGCTAAGCAACTCCTCTGCAACCAGACCAATTTCCTTCTTTTTCTCGGTGAGCAGATCTCGGCACTGCTTGTACGCATCGTCGATAATACGCCGGACTTCGCTGTCGATGTTTTGGGCAGTGGCTTCGGAGAAAGGCTTATGCAACTGCTGCTGCTGATCGTCCTCGTAGAAGAGGTAGCCAATCTTAGAGGACATACCCCATTTCGTCACCATAGCCGTTGCCATTCGTGTGACTTTGTTAAAATCGTCACTTGCTCCCGAGGTCACGGTGTCGAAATGCAACTCTTCACTGACACGGCCAGCGAGTGTCATAGCCATACGGTCCATGAGCTGGTTGACATTCATCAAGTAGGCGTCTCCCTGGGGGAGATACTGCGCGTAGCCGAGAGTACCTCGGCCGCGGGGAATGATGGAGACTTTGAGGAGAGGATCGGCGTATTTGAAGAACCAGCCGCAGATAGCGTGGCCGGCCTCGTGGTAGGCGACTGTGCGTTTCTCCTCAGGATTCAGAACTAGGGATTTCTTTTCAAGACCACCAATGACGCGCTCGATGGCTTGCTCGAAGTGGGTCATTGTTACCTTGTCGGCGCTTGTGCGGGCAGCTAAAGAAGACAGGATTAGCCCGGAATCTCCTGTGAAAGGAAAAAGGCAAAGGCTTACCGATGAGAGCGGCTTCGTTGACGCAATTGGCAATGTCGGCGCCAGAAAAGCCTGGAGTGAGTGCTGCTAGCCTGCCAGTCAAGTGATCCATGTCCTCGCTCGTCACTATCTTTCCAAGATGCACCAGGAATACTTGCTTTCGACCTTCCGTAGTTGGGCGGTCGATGGCGATATGTCTGTCAAAGCGACCAGGACGTAGAAGAGCCTGGTCCAAAACGTCTGGTCTGTTGGTACCTGCCAGCACGACGACCTGTTCGGTAGTGTTGAAGCCGTCCATTTCCGTCAGAATTTGGTTTAATGTCCCCTCTCTTTCGTCGTTGCCTCCTGAAAATCCACCCTTGCCTCTCGCTTTACCCACGGCGTCAATCTCGTCAATGAAGATAATGCAAGGCGCGTTTTTGCGAGCGTTCTGGAAGAGATCCCTGACACGCGAGGCTCCAACACCAACGAAGATCTCCACGAATTCGGAACCGCTTATGCTGAAGAAAGGTACTTGTGATTCTCCCGCCGTAGCCTTCGCCAATAGTGTCTTACCGGTACCTGGCGGACCAGACAGAAGCGCACCTCGAGGGATCTTAGCTCCTAACCTTTGGTATTGGTCCGGCGTTTTCAAGAAGCTGACAAATTCCATGATCTCTTGTTTGGCCTCGTCCATACCAGCTACGTCCTTGAAGCGGACCTGGACCTCCGTTTCATGGTTGAACTTCTTAGCTTTGCTTTTACCGATCCCAAATATCCCACTTGAACCACTAGCCCCGCCCCCACCAGCACGCCTCGAAAACCAGTAGATTGAGAGGACAAACAAGATCGTTGGGGCAAGAGGCATCAAGACGTTGATCCAACCTGTCTCATTCACATAGGATACTGGTATGCGCTCCGAGCTGGGGATGCCTAGCGAGTTCTGCACATCCTCCAATTGTCTCTCGAATGCCTCCACAGATCCAATGCTGAAGTAATAACGGAAATTGCCGTGCTGTGCTGGGCTTTCGGGGTACATTCTACCAGTAGCCTCCCGGTGGAGGTCAACGCGGACTCTGTGGCGATTGATCACTGTAAGCTTGTCCACCAGGCCCTTGTCGAAGAATGTGGTCTTGAATTCTTGGAACGTTATATCCTTCGAGTTCTCGCTTGGCATGACGGTACGGTATAGCAGGTAGGCTACGAAAGCAGTGGCCAAGAATGTTCCTGTGTCCAGTTTCGCTGTGAATTCTTTGAAATTCATCTCCCCAGGCTTCTTCTTATCATCTCCCTTGGACTTTTCCTTCTTTCCCTGCTTTTCCTCTCCTGACTTTGGGCCGACGAAGCCTTTACTCTCCTCTGCAATGCGTTTTGAAGCTTGTTCACGTGCCAATCTTCCAGTCCAAGAAACTAGCTTCGCAGCACTTGCAATGTCCAGAGGCCGATTTCTCAGATTTTCCATGACCTCTCGAACCTCAGAGGGTATGCCTTTGCGTTTGAACTCCTCAAAAGACTTTTCAACCGCGTTCGCGTCTGAAGCAGGCAGCCCCTTCCTGATTGTACTCAGCAGGCTGTCCAACGCCTCTTGTTCCTCCTTGGTGAGCATAGACATTTGAGGAGAGTCTGTTTGTTGTTTGGCATCTGAGGCGCCTCGATGAGACAAAGGACCTGCATCGCTGTAGAGGCTCTCGAAGCCCCGTGCGGGCTTTCCTGGCTTGCTCCCATCTCTCCTCACCTGCTTTCCACCTGTATTGGCGTTCAGATTTTTGCCGTCTTTCGGATCCCCAGGCTTGACGGTGGAGTATGTGCGTATCGTCGACGCCGGGTGGTACGCTGTTCGTGCGATGGATCTGCGGAGAGAGCGGGACAGTGGGCAGACATTCGCGTCGATCTGCGTCGTCGCTAATCTGGCGAGGCTGCTCGATCGCCGGAAGAGCGTGGTCATGATAGGATGGAAAAGAGCAGGGAAGGAGCTGTATGCTTGTAGACCGTCAGAGTAGAGCCCACTACGGCAATTGAGGGTTGTTTCTGGTCCTTCTAGCAATGTGAACGAAGTAAAGACTGATTCGAAGATCAGGTGGCGGGTCCACAGTGATGGGGCTTTCCATACTCAGTGACGAGCCTTTTGCCTCAATCCTCGGACATGCCAAGATCGCTTAACCCCTTCGAGTTAGCTCGGGGTTCTGCTTATACAATCGCGTTAGTGCGTTCTGTGACCTCGGTTATCCGTTCACGCCAAGATACCTCATCTGCAACGGCAGGGAATGTGGGAGTAATGCTACATAATGAGTTTGTAGTATATAGACAGGCGCAACAATGAATCAATGCTGCCTTGCAGACTAATCTTTGGACCAAAGTTTCAAGCCAAATTAGTCCCATTTTTGCCATAGAGTGGTATTCGTGATGCTTCGCTATCCTCGTTCAATGCTTTCAATGAATTGGTCATCCCTATGTCGCAAAATCTCCAGGTCAATTGGTCCATTGTTTGGATTCTCCATTCGTTTTCTCTTCATCATTTCACGACTTGCTTCGAGACCCGCTGATCGCTGAAATTTCCCGGCGGACCTCCGGGCAGCTTCGGTAGGAATTTCCCAACCCTCTTTTGATACTCCTCGTACTCTGGGTACTTCCTCGCCGATATGAGCTCCGTGAACCACGTCGATGCCTGAAACAGAATTAGGTATGCCACTGCTCCAATAATCGACCAGTTGTAGTATGTCTGCGTGACCCAGCAAGACCATCCGTAGAGCAGAACCCAGACAGACTGCTCTGCTGCGAAGTTGGGGTGACGGCTATATGCCCACAATCCGGTGGTATTGAAGCCGCGGTCAAGGGTTTCTTGGTCGAAGCCTTTGGGGACTTTGGCTGTCTCTTGGTACTCCTTCTTCGCCGAATGGTAGGCTAAAATCCTTGCCGTTAGTGATATGATGGTCCAGAAACCGACTGAGAGGTAGCATGACTCACTCCATTGCTGCCCATCGGCGTAGAATGCCAAAAATACGAGGAATCCCCATGCTCTCGAGAACACCACATCGGCAGTTGTCCAAGCAGGTGTGCTTTTCGTCGAGAGTAAAAGGACGTAGGTTGGTGTCGCCACAAGGAAAAGGAGGATCTGTGCTGTCGTTCAGCGAGGTTCCTGAAGAAATGTACACATT